TATAATTAATGTTTCCTACTTTGTGACATTGTGAATGGAATTGATGCAAATTATCACTAAGACTTAAAAATACTTTTTCTTTGCCTAATCTTTTACCCTTTAAATGTTCTTTAAAGGAATCCAACTAACTGATAGGTTTAATTCCAGAAGCTGAGAATAAGACTAAATAAATTTAAAATAAAACAAAATTTAAAAGATTTTAGTGGAAGAAATGAATAATTAATTGAAAAATAACAAAGATGGCCTTAGAATATAGTTCCAATTTGGCTACATTTACAGTACCACACATGAGTTTCCTCCCATTGAGTGGTCTTTAATTCCAAATAAATCCACAAGTGGGGGAGAACACATGTCTTTTGTTTTTCTGAGTCTGTCACTTCACTTAGTATAACAGTTTCTAGATCCATCCATTCGCCTGAAGATTTCATTATTTCATCTTTCTTTACTGCTGAATAGAACTTCATAGTGTAAATATACCACATTTTCATTAACCACTCATCAACTGAGGGGCATTTAGGTTGCTTCCATCTCTTAGCTATTGCTAAAAGAGCAGCAACAAACAGAGTTGCACAAGTGTCTCTACAATAGGATGAGTCCTTTGGGTATATGCCAAGGAGTGGTATAACTGGGTCATACGGTAGGTTCATTTTTAGATTTTTAAGAGTTCTCCACACTGTTTACCATAAGGATTGCATGAGTTCGCAATCCCACCAGCAGTGAATGAGTGCACCCCTTTCTCCAAATTCTTGCCAGCATTTGGTATCATTTGTTCTCTTGATTTTAAGTCAGTCTGACTGAGATAAGATGAAATCTTAAGATGGTTTTAATTTCATTTCCCTAATTTTTAATGCTTTTAATCACTTACTAAGATGTAGCCATCTTTATTTCTTCTCTTGAGAACTCTCTGTTTAGATCTTAGCCCATCTTTAAATGGGTCATTCATTTTCATGTTTCTTTCTTTCTTTTTTTTTGTTTATTGAGTTCTGTTTTGTAGAATGCTAGTCTGGCATAAGTGAGGCTCTAGATTGCATCATCTACTGTACACTCTCCACAATCAAAATAACAAAAAAAAAACTTAAAAAAAACTGAGTGTGATGTTATATGTTTGTAATACCAGGAAAGGGGAAATTAGCAGAGGAGAATTGCTGAGAGCTCAAGGACAGACTGGGCTGCACAGTGAGTTCACAGCAGGATCAAATTAACAATGAGATTTTTTTACTCAAATATAATGACAATAACAAAACAGAAAAAATACAGAAAAAATTCATTAAAACTTATTTTATTTGAAAGGTTGAGCCAAGTATACTAATCACTGATTTGATTAATCATGAAAAAAGAGAGACTGAGGGAGGCACTCATATTGATAAAATCAGTCTGCTGAAAGACACTCAAAAAACTACAGGAATAGAGAATACTGCCAATCTGTAAAAGACTAATGTACAATGTCTTCCATTGTATTCAGTGGTGAAAACTTGACAGTTAGCCTCATAAGCTTACCAAGGAAATGAAAATTTGTATTTGCTTTCCTGAGAAAGAGCTGATCTTCTTAAAGAGAGGGACTCTAGATAGACTAACTAGACCCCAGTGGATGAACTTGTGCTGAGGGACATCCGAGGACTCTAACTTGACATGATAGGTTTTAACACAAATTACAGAATGCATGAATTCCAGTGTGGGGATGGGTCTATGGGACGGTGCCAGTGGAGAAGGGGGTATAAAGATGATTAAGATGTTCTGTATGAAATACATAAAAATTCAAAAAAATTACAAAAAAAATCTATACTGTGGCTTTAGCCATAAAAAAATGAAAGCCTTTCTCTTCATAGATAACATAATATGCACAGAAAACCTTAGGGGCTCCCCAATGAATGATTATCCCTAACAAACAGTTCAAAACATTTGAATGAGGTAAGTTTAACATTCACAATCTGCATTATTTTTCCACACTAAACTATGATGCAAGGTGAAATTCTAAATTCGCCATCACAATATCACAAAAGTAATAAAATGCTTAAGTATAAATTTAACAAAAGAATAAGAGCCATACACTAAAAACTACAAAGTATGATTAAGAAACCCCCAAAAGTTCCAATTAAATGTTTAGGTAGTACCTACGCATTAATTAGAAAAA